CTGCCACGTGAACGGTAATAAACCTATTCTACATAAAATGAAAATGAGAATTTGAATTGTTATATATTGTTAGATTGATCGTTTATTTTTATTTTCTGTCAAACTCGTATACAGTATGTTTTTTTTCCCTTTTTCAGTGTAGGGCCTACATCAATGGAATAAAGAAGATTGCATTAATATAAAATATATTATTAGAAGTGAATAAATACAGAACCCAACTTGTAGTAAAGAATTAGCTCAAGAGTTTTTATTTACAGTATATATACATATATATATATACTGTAAATAAAAACTCTTGAGAGGGGTCTAGTATTGCCAAAAGTAGTTATATATATATATAGTTGTTATATATATATATAATATATAATAATATATATAATAATAATTAATTTGTGAGTAAACATCTAATATATATATATTAGATATTTACTCACAAATTAATTATTATTATTATTATTATTATTATTGCTGTGCGAATATACTCATTTGAGGTTTATGCACATTATAGGACGATTATTATTATTATTATTAGTGGTAGTAGTAGTAGTTGTAGTAGTATTATCATCATTGTATTATATTATTATTATTATTATTATTATTATTATTATTATTATTATTATTATTTATTTTATTTTGTCTGGTACTGTTGGCCTAAATTCAGAATTCCTAAATTCATGTACAGTATATTGTATAAGTAATCTCTGCTAATTAGCATGCATCAGCTCTGTACAGCTACGGTATATAAACCATTTGTTATTTTATAATGTATGCCTAGCCCTTATTGTTTATGCTAATAAAGTGTTTAAAGAAGGTTTATTGCAGGGACGACCGAGATATTCGTTTAGTAATAAACGTATTAATGTCACTAATTTTAACCTTTGTTATTTTTTCTAAAATGATGTGTTGTGCTCTTACTTATCTACCATTTATATCCATTACTAACATTGAAACACTGCCATATATTTATTTATTTTCATAGAAAACATCTCAAAATACCATCTTTCAAAACATTATTCATAAGAAGTTAACTAGATTTGTCTCTGGGCTAAAACATAACATAACTACAGGATCAATACAAATAAAAAAAATTAAAATTAAAATAATAAGAGTCAAAAACACATAAGTAATAAATACAGTTATAGTAGAATAATAGGCCTATACATAAAATAGGCATACACGCAGGATGAAATGTAACTGTACTGTACGTAGTGAATGTTGTAGAGGTCAAGGGTGAACGCGTTTCTGGAGCCGTGAATGCGTTACAGAACCTCAATGTCACCGCATTACCTTCCGAAGCACGGCGGAAAAACCTGTAAAAAAAAAATCATTTTTACCATATTTTGGATAATTACTGTACTAAAAGTTGGTTTCTATTGATTATTAAGTAGTTTTCTACTCTCGTGTGGTAATATTTTTATCATTTTTGCACCCGTGTGGTCGCGAGTGGTCCCGTGTGGTCGCGAGTGGTTCCGTGTGGTATTTAGTAGGACCGAAATAGAGGGTCCTGAGCCCTGCTTATCGTACTGTTCTAGAATCTAGTAGGCTTACAGGCTATTACTTCTTAATCTTTGTTAGGTTAGGCACTACTCCTACACCTTATCTATTTAGGGCTATGCCTAGCTAGCAAGGCTAGGCTACTAGGGCCAGGCCTCTAGGCCCTGGATACATAAATGCTAGGCCTAGGCTAGCCTATTTATTTAGGCTAGGCCTACTACTACTACTACCACTAGATAAATGCGAGCTGGCAAAAATAATCTTTCAATTTAAAGCCTAAACTGTTAGTTACAGGAATTTACAGTCAACCTATTACACAATGTATAAAAAATTAAATATTAATTTGACACATTAGAAGAAGCTAGACTAACACCAAAGTTCTTATTCTTGACTTACTTTTCGTAACACGTTCTCACAACAAACGCATGCTTCCAGTGCCCTTTGACATAGAATGTAAACTTATTGAGGGCGCTATATAGAATGACACAGATATCGTTTTGTTTGTCTAATAATTAAACACAATGGACCAACTTGCGTGTTATTACACTTCTATTAAAAAAATTAAAATCCATTTAAATTGTTATCAATAAAAATCCAAGCACAAAAAACACACAAAAACACATAAAATATGATAATAGGACAAACCATGAACAAATAGATGAATCATTGAAGAAATGTGTTTCCCTTAGACATTGTTTCCTCAATAAAAGACCAAAAAACTTGCACACACTGAAAATATGGTCTCATGACATTAAACTGAGTTATATAAATAGCTTAAAATATGACTGCAGTAGGCCTAGTTAGTAGAGTGGTAGGCCTACGCTTTTGTAGTAAGTCAAAGGATCGGGCGCAAAGTTTTAAAAATGATTCCTAATCAATTTAATTTCTGGGGCCTTTAAGTATACTGTTATGGAAGTGGCCTACGTTAAAACAATATTTGAATCATTGGACATATATAAAATTAAATAAATATAGATCAACATTTTACGACAACTTTGATGAGTTGTTTGCCAATGCAAAACCGTTTATTTATGCGTCGCGATATATGCCGAACTTTTCTCCATTCCATTTTAAATGTTCAAGTTTATTAACCCAAACAAAGTAAAAACTTAGGCCTAGCGATTTCTTCTTCGCAGAATGCCTGGTAGTAATTTAAAGCAAACTGCTACTGACGTGTGTTTAAATCATATTCATATCATCATTTCCTTAGTGGTACAAGAACAAAACTGTAGTGTATAAACCACTTAAAGAATATGAACAGGCGTGCCCGGATAAATCAGGATAAATCAAGACCGATCAGCTCAACTCAACAATCCAATTTCACTTTCATTTTCTAAACATGATTGACATGATATTGTGATGTGACGCGATTACTCGCAAAGTGATGTAATAGAATAGTAATGTTATGGTCTGTGGACCAAATCCCTGCAATGGTATGTGAGGTAACGGATATGACATGAGCGACGTGATGTGAGTGACTACATGTGTGACGTGACGAGGATGTATGAGATAACAAAAATGAATTGATGTCATATGATGTGAGATTATGTCTAAGTTGATGATATAGGTCCGATAACTTTTCAATATTAATTGAATGACATGTCACAATAATAATAATAATAATAATAATAATAATAATAATAATAATAATAATAATAATAATAATAATAATAATAATAATAATAATAATAATAATAATAATAATAATAATAATACTGTAATAGTAGTAGTAGTTAAATCTCGATTGAGCGCATTTGCTAAAAGCACCAATGTTCTTAAATTAGAAATATAAATCCGGAATTTAGCAAAAATATAAATTAAATAAAAAGATGTGTTTTGAGACAGGGCTGTTGTTTTTACATGTTTAAAATTCAAAAAAGGCCTTGGCCTATTTTGCAAACTTTCCTAATAATGAATACTGACTCAGGTTATAGCGCTTGTTATTCAGTTCCTTTAGAACGAATCATGAATTATAATAAAATATTTCTGCAAATTGTAAAATCCATAACTTTACATGACGTCAATACTATCAAACGTGAAAAAGTCAATTTTTGGTTGCTTCCATTTCTTTGTGGGGGGTTCTGAACGAAACAATACTGCTGCAGCTCACTTTGTGTCTGTACAGTACTCTATTTTATTCTTCCGCGGAGTGTTTCATAGCGAAACTCTTACTGTATATTATTCTCATTACTCTTGAAGTTATATTTAGCAGTAGACGTATTACATTACTTTATAAAATTACCAAATGAAAATTTCTATAATATTTTGCATTCAATTTGCTAATACATAGGATTACTTTTCTGCGGTACGGATTTTTTTTTGTATACAAATTTAGTTGATTTCGTCGCCATTTTAGAGCGGAAGTTCAAGTGCGGATAAAAATAAAGTTTCCGGGGTGTACATCTACAAGACTCGATTTTCAATAAAGTTTTTACTTGTCACTTTATCAAAATTGTTTTAATATCAAAATACATTGATTTTGGACATACGGAAGTTTTCTTGAGAGGTAAGAATATATTTAAAATCATTTTTCAATTGGAAAAGGGGCGCTGTTCCAGCCTGTGTTGCTCTTCACTCAGAAACTGACAGAAGAAGATTGGCCTGGCCCGGGCCTAGTACTAGTACCGTAGTAGTGCCTGGCCTGTGTAGAGGCCTAGGCTAGGTTTATGCTAGGCCCGGGCCTAGTAGACCTGGCCTGCCTAGGGCTAATAGTACCTTTACAACATCGTACTACGCAAGATTGCAGTAATTGTACTGGTAATTGTTGAAACCTACTACATTTCTATGCCATTCTTTTGATAGCAATTCATTTTGCTCCAGTCATTTCATTTTATTTAGTAAAAAAACATTGTTATGTTGTAGCCTAGGATTAGGAGAATCAGGATGCTATCTATGCTTCTGTTCAACTGTGACGTTTCTAAAGTTACAGAAAAAAAGTAAAAAATTATACAGAATTAAATGTTCAACTGTGGCTTAGTTGACTTACCACAAAATGTAATGGTATATAATATTCATATACTAATTACTACAGTTATTATTAATATTATTGTGATATTGTTGTTATCACTAAATACTGAAATTCTTTTTTTCTTCAATTATATAAACGCTACAGCTACAGAAATTCACATTGCAGACGGACTAGTTTAGTAATAATTCCAAGTAATTCCACAGGATAATCTATATAAAGTAAACATACATTAACAATGGATAAACAAATATTAAATTATTAAAATAATTTTATCCCTTGAAAATCTATTATTTTTCTTACAGGTCAATGTAGAGGCCATGGCGTGGAAATTGCGTGTAATAGTCAGTAAGAAGAAGCGACGTTTCACAGATGGAAGCTATGATCTGGATCTTAGCTGTATCCTTTTTAGCATTAAAATTCCAGAAATCGTCAATCTAGAATTGGAAGTATACCAATGCTGTAGATAAAATTTAAAAAATTCAGAAATTAAAATTATGATAAAGAAATATACTACACTCCAATAGCCTAGGACTGGCATTCCTTTTTTCTTTCATATTGTCCATCTGGAATAGTCAGAAAACATATAAGTTGCACTTATGAAGCACTAAAACTGACAGACATGTTTACTAGTGTTAAATCCTATGTAAATAATAATTGTTATGATGGTGGCTCATTCAGAAAGTAAATTACACTACATTTTGTATAGTAAATATTTTATCAGTAAATTTAAGTGCAGTATGTAGTGATAAAACCTGACACATGTTGACTGCAAGTAAAATGTGTTGTTGAATTCATGGAGAATGAGATGTTAGAATCCAATTCAAACAAAAATGTTCATTTAATATCTCAACACATTTTGCAAAAAATAATTATATTTTTTAAAGACCATACTGTACTGTACAACAATTATCAAAATCTGTCAGAAATAAAGGATGAGCTGGTAGTTAAAACAAATACTGTATTATACCTTATTAAAGAAATATGAAATCTGAGGAGGGAACTTTTCTACTGTATCTTCAACCACTACCACTGTGTCATATTTTAGGCTGGGTTGGTTTTATTAATAAATTTGAATTGATTTGTACCCAGGAATCTGCAGTTGGAAGCATAATAATACTATAACCGCCTACAGGGATTCCAAGTCGGGAGAAAGTAGTTTAGGGACTGGAACAATGAGCTTACTTTTAAACAGTGTATGCACTACTTCTTGTATTTTGCTGCGCATGTTGTTTTATGACCAGCTTTCTTCAAGGATTCAATATACAGTAAAAAACATCAAAACATGCAAACATTCCAAATTTGTAGGAGATTAATATTTTCGGGAGAATTATGCTTGCTCGGGGAAGTTTGAGATTGCTGATATCCAGGAGATTGTTGCAGCTAGCAGGATATTTTAACAAGCTATCTTGTGTTTAAAGTTGGTAAACTTAACAATTAGAACAGATATCTACCCAAACATCATTGCTATGGGGTTTCCTGCAGACAAGTTGGAGGGTGTGTACAGGAACAACATTGAAAGTGTTGTAAGGTAAGATAATCATTCAATTTAAGGTATTACTACATTACAAGTATCGTTACAGCCTTACACTTCATTTTTACTTGGGGAAAGACTTTTTTTTTATAATAGTTTGTTTATAAAGTTTGCATAAAATGTCATGGTGACCCTGAACTCTTCCTGAACCCTTCCAATCTAGAGGAAGCGTGTCATCATTAAAATGATCTGTAAAATGAATGTAGATCACATAATTCACCCTCTTACATAACAAACCTTATTAGTGATCGTAAAATTACAAGGACCCTCCGATCATCATCACATCATCTATTACATAAACCACAAACATGTACTAGCACCTATGGTGACAGTGCATTTTTAATATCAGCTCCATCTCTCTGGAACAGTCTTCCACAGCTTGTCCGTGAGGCCGATAATGTTACACTTTTCAAGTCGCGTTTGAAGACACACCTCTTTTCTTCTGCTTTCTCTCTTTAATGCCCTCTTTAGTTTTTGGTTTATTTTTTAGTTGATGTTTCAGCGCATAGAGAAGTTTGATATGCGCTATATAAGTATACAATAATAATAATAATAATAATAATACCTCACGCCTTGTCATTTTATTTTTATTGGTGAAATCATATTGGCTGACAATCGTCAGCACAAGGTATGCCTTGCATTACAGTGAGATACCTTTTCTATTTGCAGTGAGCATTGTAAATAAATCCAGTCATGCCATAATGAATACTTTTGTGCCTTTAAAGGTTAATTCTTATTGTAAATTTCTAATATACATAGTTAATACCGTAGTTGAAAGAAACTTAAAAATCAGTAAAACTTGCCTAACAGGGGAGTAAGATTTTTCAGAAGGAGCAGTATAAGACTATTTATATATATTTACCTTATTGAAATCTGTGTCAAAAATTAAACCACACATAATTGCACACTCTAATTTACTGTTTTTCTTTCCATTCAGATTTTTGAATGAGCGTCACAAGGACCATTTTAAGGTTTATAATTTGTGAGTTAATCTTGTATTGTTAAATATAAATTTATTTTTATTATTTTTTATTTATTTATTCTTAACCCTGTGTAGCCTGATTGGTACAAAAACATTGTTTTCCTCCAGGGCCCAGCAACACTTACAAAAAAAAAAAACAGAGAAAAATGCAAAGGCAATAAATATTTAGTGTGATATTGCTTGAAAACAATTGAGATGGAATAGTGATATAGTGTGACTTGCATTTCTATCAAAGCCTTCCACAAGCTTTTCAATACTGTAGAACTTAAAATTTTATCACAGGGCTTTTTAAAATCACTGGTCACAAAACGTTCAATGGATGGTAAATTAATACTGAATGTAGGGATGTAGTTATGGTTGGTAAAGGTGTGCGGGGCCACCCAGCCTTGAAGTTTTCCACCCAGTTAAAGCTAATTTCATGGCCTTCCACCAACCCTTATTAACCGTATTTTCCATCTTTAAAATCCACTCTTTTTATTTAGAGTTTACTGACCAATGTTATCACCCACCCTTAAAATGTCTACCACCCACACCCTTTAGTTTTGTAAAGCTACAACTCTGTGAATGGTAAAAATGATGCTTTTTGTTGAAGAGTTGAAATGTAGGCTGCTCGTTAGGGTGCTTGCTTTTACTACCAGGGTTCCGAGTTTAAATTCTGCAAAGATTTTTTTCTTACAACTGCAAACAACACTCACCAATCCCATTGTTCATGTCTGAAGAGGTCCTCTTAGGCAAGCTACTCCAATTGAGAGAGTTTTAGTGAGTAAGAAAGTTTTGCGATTATCTTTAGAATTGAATAGGACTTTTTTGTCTTCATCATTCAGTTTTATTTTTTCATCACAGATGCTCCGAAAGGAATTATGACATTTCAAAATTTGGAAATAGAGTAGCACACTTCCCATTTGACGACCACAACCCACCTAATTTCAACCTATTTAAACCATTTTGTGAGGATTTGGACGGCTGGCTGGGAGAACATGACACAAACGTGGCTGTCATTCATTGTAAGGCTGGCAAGGTAAGCTACACACCATCTCAGTAAAAACTCTAAATGAATGTTTCAAAGACTGTAGGTTCATGACCGTTCGCTAGACGTTAATTGTGAATTATTGCATGCATATGATAATGCTGATCACTCTGGTTGATGTAGAATAGTCTTTTTTAAGGTGGAGTGCCACATAGACTGAGTTTTGGTAGATAATTGCAGTCTTGTGATATTTTAAGATTGATTAGGAACAACTTCAGGTTATTCTATCATTTATATACATGTGGGAGACAAAATAGAAATTGTTGTGGAATATATTAATTAGCAACGTACAATAGGTGACACAAATAAAAACCATTATTTAAGTTTAGTATATGTACAGGTATTATTACATTGAAAGGTAACTTGTCTCTGTTAACACAATTCATTTAAATTGTGTAAGTTCTATACTATAGTATTTGTATCTTGAATCATCTTTGAAATGTAACAGGGGCGAACTGGGGTGATGATCTGTGCCTACATGCTGCACAGACAAATGTTCACAGACTCTCAAAAGGCTTTGGACCATTACGCTTTTGCTAGGACCGTCAACGGAAAGGTAAGTCTATCGTTCCATCATACACCATTATAGTAATACTGTAGGCCTAATCCAGATCATTGTATTTATAGTAGGTGTGCCAACGTGGCCCAACCAAATTTTCATCATAAAAAAATGCTCTAATTAATCACCATCAACTGTAATAAGGCAAAAAAAATTCTGGTTTGCCCAATCCCAACCTTCTTAACAATCTTTAATCAGCTTTTAAAAAAAAAAAGGAAAAAAAGAGAACATTTTGTCTTAAGGGGTACAAATACTTGTTGGCCACTTTTCAAAGTTTGAAACCTTAACCGTTTTAAACTTGTGGTTATCAATTTATCAGCTAAAAATGCATTGGTAGAGCAATGTTTGGCACTGAACACCTGAAAAATTACCGAGGTCTGGCCCAGATTTTCAGCACAACAGTTTTTTTTCTTGAACTAAGTGCTGTGGTTGTTCTACTGGTTAAACAAGTAGCGGCAATGTAGACACATAACATCTATTGTTGCTGTAAATGATAACATTGAAGACTACATTAACTAATACTAATGTAGCATATGATTAGGAGTTAGAATGACTAATTGAGATGTAGGTAATGATTCTGTCATATGAGACAGGTGCTACTAGTAATGATGTCCTTTAAGCAAAATGAATATGCCTGTATCAGTGTTGATGATGGTTAAGGAACAAGAGCTGAAGCCTTTATCCTAAAAGCTCATTAAATCATGATGTCACAACCACCTGCGCACATATCAAGGTCATTTGCATATTCTGCTGTTGTGCAAAAGTTCTTATTCATCGTAGTTGTGGAATATTATTATTATTTATAAAATTGTTGTCCTTTCAGGGTCCCATATTGGATTTTTTTTTATAGTCGTCTGCAGGGCCAGATTGTCAGATCTCATACTTTTCATTACCAAATCAAAGTTGCCCTATAAAATTTTCACATAGTTTTTGACTTCCAATCTAATTTCCCTTTTTAAGAGTCACAGTACTATAGATCATTGCTCCACTTTCTGCACTGCCTAAGCCTTGGCCTTCAAAAACATTTACTAGAAAATAAAGTGCATCCTCATATTGACAGTATTTACTTTAATTGAAAGAATTTAGAATTACGAAAATTTGAAGCTGTTTATCTAAGTATATTATGAAATTTTAAAAGTTTGAATTAAATAATTTGATGACATTTTATGTCATGTTTTGTTTAATTTTTTGAAATACCTTTTCTTTTGTAAGAACTCTGAGTTCACAGTTAGATGCTTTAAAATTCCATATTGTACTTCTACTTTGGGGTCATCGTTATGCTATTGATTCCGTTCTTTGCAGCATTTTCATTCTGGAAAGAATTTAACTGGGGCATAGGCCATAATGTTTTTCAAGCGATTCTTTAGTTCAGGCCTGGAAAAAAATGTTTTTGCCTCCCGACCATGAAAGTTGTCCTGGTAAAGTGCCTCTAGCACAAATGGTCTGTACAACAGTTTTATTTTTTGGAATTTTTTTCCCCAAAATGCCGTTGGACATTCATGTTGCCTTTGACCAGCGCTGCTTTAGTTTCATGCGGTATAATTAATTCATCCTAGGCACCATACTACAAGCTGTTTATGAGAATTTCAACAAAGCAATTGAATTCAAATGACTATCACATGTAAATTATATACAGAGACTGGATTAAGTAGGCTCTTCTACAAAATTAGTGTATTTGCAACTTCTGTAGAATTGGGTGACAAGTTTACTGTAATGCATATCTGTGGGCATTGGTATAGCATGCCCTTGTCAACCATAATATAAATAAGATTCTATTGAAAAATGCATTTGTTGCTATTGTTAACAAATATACGTTATTTTTATTTAGTTTAATTGATATTTATATTATTCAGAACCTGCTGATTTAAATACACTAAGTACCATATTGTAGATAGTTCAATCATTAAAAGCTTATTAGAGAATCAGTATTATCACATCATTTGCCATAATTTTGTGTTGTTGGTTCATTGTCAGTCACTGCATATCACATAAAATTACAATTGTTCAGAGCCTAGTCACTCGCAGACATTCTAGCTAATGTGATGATGGCTGAGGTTAGGGTCAAAAGGTCAGGTTGGATTACCAAGCTTAGCGCATCATTCATCAGTCTCAGAAACTCCAAGCATACTGTAGCTATATGATCAATTGGCTGAAGGTCTGTGTCTTTGTCTTAAGTCATTAGAATCTGATTTCACATATTGATGAGTAGAGCTGTTGTCCAAGAATTTCCTCAAGCTATAAACTTGCCATATTCATAATGAAAAAAAAAACTCATCAAAAAAAATTTGGTTTTGAACAAAACAAAAAAAGAAGCATATTTTCTTAGAGCCATGGCATTGTGAAACTGCTTTCCTGACAACTGTTCACTTTAGAACATCTAGTACACCCAACTGAATTGATTACTATATTGATTTTAGACATTGTTAAACCATTCTTTTTCTTCTTGTTTCTCTCCTTTTTACCTTCTTTTGTAGCCTATACTCAGATTGGTCTTCAGACTTGTATTTGGCGAAGTATATTAAGCTTATTCAGCTTTGTGTAACTTATTAACAACGTTGACTTTCAAATTGCATCATATGCTATGATTTATTAAGATATGTGTATATAATTACATAATGATTATATACACATATCTTAATATGTGTTTATAATTACATAACATACATTTCATTAATGTTTGCATCATTTGTATTCCAAATACAATGAAGGCGGCAACTTTGCACTTTGACTGCACCATCCTGGTGACATTTTGCGTTAGTTTTATTGTTTTTATAGATCCTTGGTTGTTAATATTTGGAGATGTAATTCACTTGCAGGGTGTAACAATTCCAAGTCAGCGCCGGTATGTGGATTATTATGGCCAGTTGGTACTCAATAGGTTAGACTACCTACCGACTACACTGCTGTTACAAGCAATCCATTTTGATACGATACCAATGTTGTCAAACAGTGGAACATGTACTCCATTTGTAATTATAAACCAACAGAAAGTAAAGATTTACACATCTTTACCTTTAGAAGTAAGTTCTAAATAATTGCTTACTAGTTTTTTTATATTTTTGAACTTGTGGATATATAATTTGGTAACTTAAAGAGTTCAGTATCATCTTTATCTACATCATCATCTTAGTCATCATTATTGTTATCATCATCATCAATATGTAATTATAAACCAACAGAAAGTAAAGACTTACACATCTTTGCCATTACAGGTAAGTTCTGATTAATTCCCCACTTGTTTTATATTTTCTATCTTGCTTATAAGTTGTAACTTACAGAGTATCATCCTTATCTACATCAATATCATCGGCAATATCATGTCATCATCACTGATCATCATTATTGTTTTATCCTCTTTATATTCTCCATCTTTCTTATTTATTATTATCATTAAAATTTATTCATTTATTAAACATACCTGTATTATATCAATGTTGGCATTGTTGTTCTTGTTGCTGTAGTACATATCTTCATCATACTCAATGTTTTGAGCCATCTACTAAACAACTTAACACTTTCTTTAGGAAAGTTTTTCTCATTATTAGTCTGCTTAATAAAATATATAATTGAATATGTTCTTTCCTCAATAGGGTGTAAAACGAGCTGATAAAAAACTAATGTTTAGTATACCAAAAGGAGGGCTTCCTATTTGTGGAGACATCAAGATTGAATTCTTCCACAAATCAAATAAATTGAAGAAGGTAAAGTAAACCAAATAAATTGACATAATTAATCAATATATTTCATTGTTATTATTATTATTATTATTGTTACTGAAACTTACCATAGGGGGAACTTAAACGATGGAGAAATTAAAGAACATTCAAAAAACGATGTTAAGTGGAAAATAACACAAAAGATAGTCCCTGAAGTCTGACTTAGCACATATTATTATTATTATTATTATTATTATTATTATTATTATTATTATTATTATTATTATTATTATTATTATTAAATTTATTTGTTAAACAAAACAGACTTTATTGTTAATAACATTTCACTTAAAGAAACATAAATTTATTTAATTAACAACAAATTTTAATTTTTTTTAATGATAATTTTTTTTTTTTAAATTATAGAGTATATGTTAATTATTGTTTTAATTTTATGTGTGGACACCTATACTTAATAAAGATTTCAGAAGTTTTGAAAGTAATTAAAATATAAAATCTGAAAAATATGTATTAAAATTTAATGATAAATTACTTTAATCATGATGAACCATTTGGCTAATATCTTATATACAGTATAATTGGTTTGACTGGCTTGTATTTTATTTTAATGCGATTTAATAAGGAAGCTTTCTTCTGTTTACTCTATACAAATAATTAAAAAATTATCAGTAACCACTACAGCTACTTTATTAAAAAAACAGCATTATTATTAATTGAGCTTATACAATATAAATAATCATTTTATTTAAGTTCACTATATGAAGAATAGACACTTTCTATTTTAATAACCAAAAAATTATTTATATTTCCTTAAATTACAAGGAAGTGCACTCATTTCAATGTGAATTCTGTCTCTTATACACATCTAGATGTGTATAAGAGACAGATTGTAAGATGATCTTCTTTTTGCACTCTGATCAAAATCAAACTTGGTATTATGCCTTTTTACCAGCTAGAAAACTAATTAGATATCCATAATTTTCTTCTGTGATTGGTCAATTGCCAACTTTGCAATGCTTTGTGGATATAATGCACTCTTTCAAATGTCTTTGCTTTGATGGATGGATATAATGTGTAACTCTCATATTAATTTCATATTTCTAAACATTTTTGGGGGTATATGATCAATTCACATGATAAATTACATCCTTAGGATGCTCCCAGGCCAAATATCTCGAAAATGGATAGAATGTTTTTCCAAATCACAGCTGTATAGATACAGTAGTATCGTTTATTAATCATGTTAATCATTTAAAATTAATAATTATTTATTTATTTTTTCTTTTTCTTCAGGATAAGATGTTTCATTTTTGGGTAAACACATTTTTCATCTTAAACTCCAAGTGTGAATCTGTAAAGCAATGCAGCGTGGACCTTCTTCCGGATATTAAACTGGAAGGTACTCACAGTAGACAAGTGTTGGAGATGACGCTACAGAAAGATGAGCTAGACAAAGCAAACAAAGACAAAACAAATCGACTCTACTCTCCTAATTTTAAGGTACAGTAGATAATCTAGTTCTAGATTCCTCATTTGTGGATATTCTATTAAATCGGGTCTACTTCCAGAACATCTTCCAATTATTAACCTCCCAATACAAACTCTCAATTTAACAAACATACTTTATGTGGATGACATCATTACAAATGATTTTTTTTGCACAAATATCTTCAAAAATAATATATAATTTTTAATCAGCCATTAAAATGGATGGATGGATGGATTTATTTGGTGTAAACACCTTCAGTACACACACAGTGGCTACCACCAGCTTAGCCGACTGAGCTAAGCTGATCTCTATGTTTATACCAATAGGTAGGATTGGATAGGTAGTGTTAGATAACGTCTGCCAGCCTCTCGCACTGAACGACATCTTTTCTTCCTTTCGCAAACCATTAAATTTTTTAAACCTAAACCATAGACGATGAAAATTCTAATAAATAATAATTATAATTAAAAAAAATTTAAAATTTTTTAAATTTTAAATTAATGTATTATATTAATTTTATATTGTGAATGGTATGTATGTATGTATGCAAGCAGTGGAATTTAAAGAAATAGATAAGAATAAAGTTTGAATCTTGATTCTTGAACCTTGAATAAATCAGCGTAAACTTCAATAAAGCAATAAATGTCCGTTTTTTTTAGCCAAGATGATTAGAGCCATGCATGGTTGTTAGGTAGCAGCAGGCAGCTACAAGAATGGAGAAGCTGACTTTTCATTCATTAGTGGGTGGTACTATTCAAAAGGATGTATCTAGTGTGACATACTAATTCATGATTGTTATGAAGAGAATATTAACATTTGTTTTTACTATTATAAATCATGTGTCTATTCCGTGAATACTTAACTGGATAAACCAACTAATTTTTGCCATTGTTTTTTAAAGAACACCCCTACAACAAAAATAGAACTGGCCGAGAATACTACAATTTGTTTTTACTATTAAAGATCATGTATTTATTCGGAAATCACATCACATCAAGTAGGAAATCATATGTCCAAAAATAATATGCATCAATGCTTCAAGTACCTTTGAGCAGCCAGTATTAATAGACTTTGTGCAATGTATTTGGTATTTATGATCTTTATCATAAAAATTGCAATTTTTTTTATTTAAGAACTGCTTTCTGATATTTGCTTTCAGTGGTCATTTTTGTTTTCTTTTCCTAATTTTTTTCATTTTGCACTGTGATGCGGTTGATTAAGAAAGTAAATCCTTGGTGGGCCACAGGGTTCATACCGTAGGGCTGGAGCTTATCCCCAGTTTCAAGTAGCCTGATGCTCCCACTGGGTGGGACGCTGGTCCACCGCAGGCGTTTGAATGAAGTTGTTAAATGATAATAATTAAATGAAATTCGTATACTTTTCCTTGCACAGGTAATTTGTTACTTCTCATCAGTGGATGGGGATAGGCGACCTTCAGTGGACTTAATTGATGGTGTTAGCGGTGTTCATATAGATGAACCAGATGAAAATTTTTCTGACACAGACTCTGAATCGGAGTGGAACTCGTTAGAATGCACCCAAGTGTGATACAAGAAAGACTAGTTAGTAGAGACTAAAAACTATCAGATTTTATATACTGTATTGGATTGATATGCCATCTCCAACACAAGTTGCGTATTTACCAGTAATTTCTTCAAGGTGGATACCTAACAGCTATTGGATTTTATTTACTGTATAAGTTAAATTCTTCTTGGATGGATATGCCATTTCCAAATCAAGCCTCGTTCCCAAACTGACTACGTGTTGACCACGCTTACCTCCAACTCACGTGGACTTGGTGACTGTGAACCCTGTTGTTACAAGTCAAGGCTAGCAGGCCTAGCCTTTTATTCATAAAGTAATCTCCTGTATGATGCGTCAACAGTTCTCATATGGTGCCGCATACTGTGAAAATTGCAGAGAGTTTGAGTTTGTAATCCATACATTAGGCCTTCAATACACATGTGATATGTTTGCGCAGTTGTTTCACATGCTTAGCTGTACATCTGCTTCACGAATACGTAGTGTGGAAATGTGCATGTAGTACATTATTGGTAAAATGATCAAATCAGTCTAGTTTGCATCATTGGCAAACAAATGTTTTACTATTATGTCGCATAATTTTCACTTCAGGAGATTGTATGAAATGCAAAACAGAACCAACCATTGACCCAGATAAAACCGGCCAAACATCTGCATCCAGTATCTTGTTTCTTTGCAAAACTCTACCATAAAAAATGTCGGTGATCGTATAATAGCAATTATTTTAATATATTCAACTATAGTATTATATTTGTAGAAGTGGAAATAGTTAATGGAATGTAAAAAATATTGTTATTGTTTCTATTTTGATTATCAGTTGAAAAATTGATGAAATAAACTAGATGGCATTAGGGCCATGCTCAGATATTAAAAACACCTGTTTTTAACTGGTTCATTGTAACTAGGTAAAAGTATCTTCACCGGATTTTAAGTTTAATACATCTATTCCTTTCCAGTGCCTGTATTTGCTAGATAGGGAGTTAAACTGATTGACAGTGGATCCAACAATTTCCAATGGGGACCAATGTAATTTGGCCTTAGCCACTGGAACCAAGAAAAACTGAATAATTTTGGGCCAATTTAAGCTGCTCCGAGACATTTTAGCACTCATGGCAAATGGGGGCTTGATCTGTCCAATGCAGGACCCACCTGTTCTCCTTCCATCCCCAGGAAACACTGGTGCAGCCCCTGCTCATGTACTGCATGTTTACCACTCACCAAGTTACTAACTGTATTTGTTCCCCTCAACAGAATACTGTTTATATGACCGTAAACATGATGATGCCTGTAGTAGCCACTTGCGGACATTTTATTCAGAATTGTATTCTTCACATTTTATAACCAAATATATTAAAGGGATGTATACATTCAATATGTATTTTATCTCTTCCAAGCCAAATTATAAGATCATTTTATGTTGAGCAATCACACATATTGCTGACTCTCTTTGATCTTTTGCTTAGTTTGAATGATCTGTTGCTAAATTTGATTGACAGTTTGGAAAGCTCTATTGCTATAGTGCCAATATTTTTCAGCACAAACTACATTTATTTGGCATATTTCCAAAATTTTTAAAAGTTTAGGAATTGGTATTCACTGTGACCAGGACAATTTTTAAGAATATTAACAAATATAATATATTCCCAATAAGTTAGTAGTCCTAGCCTCAGATCTTATAAGAAATTTGCATTAATTTTTACAAATTTATGAATTCACTAAACCAAGAGTCAATGGTTGATTACATTGTTACCAAAATTGCATAACAATTATTCTAACTATCCAACTTAAGTGTGGGTGATAATGCACTATGAAAGGAAGGGATTCTAGTTATTAAAATGTTAATAGTCCTCCAAATTATTGATTGACTTGGAAGTGGTTGGCTACACCAGGAAAGGGGATGTTTCTAATTGTTTAATCATTTTGTTCTTTTTGATGAATTTGTATTTTTGCAATATGAAATGTAATTGCTAGTGCCAACACTGCCAGCAGGTACACAATAATTACAAAATGTAGACATATATTTGAATCTATTATGGTGAGGACAAATAGCCATCGATGTGTGAACAAAATGAAATTGTTTTTCAGTATAATTTTGTATTCTTGATTTGCCATTGTTATACTTGTCGTGTTTTTGTATGTTACTTTGGACCAACATCTTTGCATCTCAAACAGAGGGCGCTTTTGTTATTGTCACGATGTCCCTGCTTTTATTGATAATCTTTTAGCTTATCTGCCACGTATGTCTTTGCATAGGTACATATATATAATTGTTGATTCTTTTGATTTTTATTACTTTCTTAGAGAGTTTGCTAAACTGCAATTTGTGACATTTCTGGTAATATAATATTGCAATGTTATTTGTATACATTGCCAAGCTCACATCTAGGTTTTGTAAATATGTTGTAAAAAAACAAACTACCAAAATTAAAATAATTTTGGGAATAACTCAATGATTAAAAATACTGTATTTTTTTTTTTTTTTTTTGAAAATTACACTCTCAAGAAATGTTACACAAATTGTTTAGCTGCCAATAGAATCTTAGCTTTTGTTTGAAAAAAATCAATGGAATCTTAGCTTTTTTTTAAACAGAAAATAAGATAAATTTTATCTTTCAGCTCTCTTTAATATAAAAGTTTTGAAATGAATTGAATTTGATATTCCTTTTTGATCTAGTATTTTGAAGAGCAGATCTGAAAATGTTCCTGGTTTTTGAAACTGTTGTAATTGTATATTTGCATTTTTTGCAATAAAATGCGGGGTGTATCCTTATTTTCCCCTTCGGCCATCTTGATCCACTATTTGGAAGTTTCTTCCTACCTACATACGTTATTACAGGGTACAATGTTGGAAGTGGTAGGCACAGAATAAAATTATTGCTGCATATCCCTAGCTTTGAATTACAGTGTTCACTTTTGTCAGTTTTGAATTCATGCAACTCATTGAACTAGGTGTTTGTGGGGGGTTTTTTTTTGTGCATATTAAAATATTCTATTATTAAAATAATTTTCTATTTTATAGTATACCTAAAATAGATTCTTGTTCATAATTGTTTTTTCCGAATTGAACAGTTCACTTTCAGCGAATGAAAGCTTAGGTTAAGGCATGCAAATGAACACAACAAATGAAACCAAAATTTATATGGAACTAAATTACATGAAGAATGATGCAGTTTGCCATTAACTGGTGTAAAAAGCTTGTTACATGTCATATTAAATCCACCAATCAAATGACAAGGATCTTTTTAGGCATGTTATAAAAAATAATATATTTTCATAAAAGCTACAAGAATAGCAAAAATTTCTAATTGACGTTATTACAGTTACTTGCTTAAGTTGACTTTGCCTGAACAATTTTGTAAGTCGATCTAATTTTACATGACAAATTGTGTTTTCCATTAACCGTCTGCAAGTCAAACAATTTTTCAATGCAATTTTGGATTTGACAAGGCAAGTTCAACTATACTTCTCTTTGATTTTGTAATGTCAATGTATTTTAATTTGCAGACCGAATAATGACATGATAACCAATTATTATTAGGTATTACTTTTAACTTTATATAAAAAAAAAAACGCATTGGTGTTGTAAAAAGTAGTATGTATAAGGTAATGCTTCTGAATTGAAAATGAAAATATTGAAAAATTAGTATTAATAATAATAAAATGAATGATTAACTGTTTAAAGCGTAAAACCGGGCACGCACTGCACCCTATGTTAATCAGGCAACACGATTGTATGGAGTGTGCAATACCACGATCGTTTTAATTGACAATAAGTTCAGACTGCCCCCAACAATCGGTAGACAACGTGATGTCATCCAGCGCTCTCTGGGAGTAGAGTTGGACTTGCTGTACGACGGTTGTATGATGCAGTCAGTGCCCGGCTGTAAAAGAATGTTAATTTATTGACAAACACATTTGAAGAAATTTCATTGGCATTTAGTGAAAACATGAGATGCTTAAATACTAGAACAGTCATGCAAGTAACAATATGCATGGTACAGTACCAACATTCTCAGTTGATATTGTCATAGCAACATCAGTTGGAAATGTATTGTCATAGCAACATCCTCCATTGATATTGCTATAGAAATGTTCTCTGCAGCTAGAAATCTATTAAATATTTAAGTCTACTTATGTCATAGTGATGTTATTGTTATCATGGTAATAATTTTAATACAAGCTACCATAGCAACTCATGAAATGCATTGAAGATTGAAGTTGTGTGTTAAAAATGCTATCATGACCTTTGACCATCATTGTGCATACAGATGTTATGATTGTCATTAATTTAGGTCTAGAACGTGACTGCATCCTGTATAATTGCTATTTGCAGGCTATGAAGAACATAGAGTATTTCTACAGATATTGAAAGTTGATTATAATGTGTGCCATCATTCCAATAAAGTAAGACTAACAAGCATTCAAGTTCATGTGAGAAACAAGTCATAAATGTGGCAAAGACAAAGCCAAACCAGTCACTCGTCGCAAATCCTGTTACAGAGAAAATGGCCAAAACATGCTGGAATGTCAAATTTTTAAAAATCTATTTTATTGCACTAAACTAACCTTTGTATATCTATACATTATTCTATGCTGTTATTTTCCCCATTTTCAATGTTAAAACAACACTTTTTAAGGATTTAAAGATAGTTTCTGCATGAGAAATGCCTGAAATCATAAACTTTGAAGGCTGATTTCTC